CCACATAATTTTGGCTTCTAACGAAGGGAAGTTAACAAACCTACTGTGATGTGGCCCGAATTTTGTTTTGGCCTGGGCCGTGTTGTGACCCGGTTTTGAATCGTTTTTCCACTTGAGGGCCTTGGACCCTATTTAGGACTCTCATGTGGCCTAGTATATAAGGGCGTTTAGGGTTTGTAGTGGGATATGCGAGAACACTGAAAATTGCAGGAAGAGATTGAGAGAGAGAGAGCTAGGGTTTGGTGGTTGCAACTTTAGACTCCTGATTTTTGCTTAGTGAAATCTTTCGCCGGATCTTCATTGTGGATGTAGGCTTTACGCCGAACCATGTAAATCTTTGTGTCCTTTGTGTGGCGTGTTTACTTTTCAGCTTGATTCTTGATTTGTTTTTTGGTTTACGGCATTTGTCGTAACACCTATTATACCAATGAATGTTGTTTCCAGAGTCTTTTTTCCTCTTATATTCTTGATTACTGGTGAATTATATTTAACAAGAGACGACAGGCACATATTAGTATTGCTGATGGGAAAAAGTATTCAGTGATCCTTGCATCAGAAGGTTAGTTTTCATGATTTTATAATTAACCGTGCGGAAGGATAGTTTTCATGATTTCATCAATTTAGTTATAGCTTCCTCATTTCATCAATTTAGTTATATCAAAATCTTATGTCATCGTCCAAGCCAAGAGGTTACATTTAAAAGTGCAGTTGACCTATTAATCCTCCTGATGTGAATATTTTTATTAGTCAAGCAGCCTTAGCACATTCAACAAAGATTTTGCCCCCAAATGGGACCATTGTACTTTATCTCCAAGCTAATTAATTTTAGCCATTTCCCACCGCCTTAAAAGTACAGAGTTTGTCAAGAAAAGATTCCACCTCATTCAACCACATAATTTTGGCTTCTAACGAAGGGAAGTTAACAAACCTACTGTGATGTGGCCCGAATTTTGTTTTGGCCTGGGCCGTGTTGTGACCCGGTTTTGAATCGTTTTTCCACTTGAGGGCCTTGGACCCTATTTAGGACTCTCATGTGGCCTAGTATATAAGGGCGTTTAGGGTTTGTAGTGGGATATGCGAGAACACTGAAAATTGCAGGAAGAGATTGAGAGAGAGAGAGCTAGGGTTTGGTGGTTGCAACTTTAGACTCCTGATTTTTGCTTAGTGAAATCTTTCGCCGGATCTTCATTGTGGATGTAGGCTTTACGCCGAACCATGTAAATCTTTGTGTCCTTTGTGTGTGGCGTGTTTACTTTTCAGCTTGATTCTTGATTTGTTTTTTGGTTTACGGCATTTGTCGTAACACCTATTATACCAATGAATGTTGTTTCCAGAGTCTTTTTTCCTCTTATATTCTTGATTACTGGTGAATTATATTTAACAAGAGACGACAGGCACATATTAATATTGCTGATGGGAAAAAGTATTCAGTGATCCTTGCATCAGAAGGTTAGTTTTCATGATTTTATAATTAACCGCGCGGAAGGATAGTTTTCATGATTTCATCAATTTAGTTATAGCTTCCTCATTTCATCAATTTAGTTATATCAAAATCTTATGTCATCGTCCAAGCCAAGAGGTTACACTTAAAAGTGCAGTTGACCTATTAATCCTCCTGATGTGAACATTTTTATTAGTCAAGCAGCCTTAGCATATTCAACAAAGATTTTGCCCCCAAATGGGACCATTGTACTTTATCTCCAAGCTAATTAATTTTAGCCATTTCCCACTGCCTTAAAAGTACAGAGTTTGTCAAGAAAAGATTCCACCTCATTCAACCACATAATTTTGGCTTCTAACGAAGGGAAGTTAACAAACCTATTGTGATGTGGCCCGAATTTTGTTTCGGCCTGGGCCGTGTTGTGACCCGGTTTTGAATCGTTTTTCCACCTGAGGACCTTGGACCCTATGTAGGACTCTCATGTAGCCTAGTATATAAGGGCGTTTAGGGTTTGTAGTGGGATATGCGAGAACACTGAAAATTGCAGGAAGAGATTGAGAGAGAGAGAGCTAGGGTTTGGTGGTTGCAACTTTAGACTCCTGATTTTTGCTTAGTGAAATCTTTCGCCGGATCTTCATTGTGGATGTAGGCTTTACGCCGAACCATAAAAATCTTTGTGTCCTTTGTGTGTGGCGTGTTTACTTTTCAGCTTGATTCTTGATTTGTTTTTTGGTTTACGGCATTTGTCGTAACACCTATTATACCAATGAATGTTGTTTCCAGAGTCTTTTTTCCTCTTATATTCTTGATTACTGGTGAATTATATTTAACAGGAGAACGATAGGCACAAATTAATATTGCTGATGGGAAAAAGTATTCATTGATCCTTGCATCAGAAGGTTAGTTTCATGATTTTATAATTAACCGTGCGGAAGGATAGTTTTCATGATTTCATCAATTTAGTTATAGCTTCCTCATTTAATTTTTAATTTAACCACCATAGAGCAGCAGTGATTGGCTAGCTATATCTATATGTAGTGTTGGACATAATTAACTGTTGATTATTCAGTAGACATTTCTAAAAAATAGTGGTGAACTTTATGTAGATGTCAATTTGTGGAGCGCTTTATGTTCAATGATGCTCTAGTCCTATATATTCTTGACCCTGCAACTGTTCTCTACTAGCCTATCCTGCAATCTTTCTGTATTAGCTTATCCATATTATTTGGATAATTCAAAGGATTATGTTGATGTTGATGCGTCTGCAGTATTGTTGCTCCACCTCTTATATATCCTCCACTCATTGACAATTTTTTCAATTCTTCTGTGAAATCAGTAGAAGCATCAGCTATCTTTGCCAGGGCACAAGCAACAGTGATGGTGTCAGAGGCCCTTAAAGAGCATGGTGGAGTAGAGGTAATGATCTTCATTACTCTTGATTGCATGTATGGTGTGTTGGGATTTCATACCTTGCATAAGTCTTTCATATTTTACTAACTTGCAGAAATTCCTCATCTTTAACTGTAGAACTTTTCCATGTGATTGGGCTACAAGTTGACTACAGCATTTTAAATTGATGTTTTAGTTTTTTGGAAATTTAGTTGTTGTACACGGTAACCTGGCTTTGCAGCCTGTAATACGTCTAAATTTATCCGTTAGTATAAATAGTGATTGTTATGATATATGCATATGTGATTGATTAGATGCATTTACCGACACACCGCAATTGCCCATGACAACTGTTATGTGGGGTTCTTACTTTCTGGAGTGAATTGCTGTAAGTCTTGGTCTCTCTCTCTCTCTCTCAGCAAGTGCATGATGTTTCAGGGAGGATTCTCAGTATATTACTTGGCTGGCTGGTAGTTCGTTTTATATCACTTATATTCCGAATGACTAAACTATGAAAATGGTAATTTCTGTTGCAATAATAAAAACAGTCGATACCCAGAATAAAATAAAACTCAAGTAGGTGAACACATTGATACAAGTCGACTATATTGGGTTGATGGTTTTTTGGAAATTTAGTTGATGTACATGGTAACCTTACTTTGCAGCTTGTGATACATCTAAATTGATCTGACAATATATATAGTGGTGGTTATGATATTTGTATTTGTGATTAGTTGCATTTACTGACACCACAATTGCCCATGACAACTGTTATGTGGGGTTTTTAGTTTTTACTTTCAAGATTGAACTGCAGTAACTCTTGGCCATTCTCTCTCTCTCTTTTGGCAAGTGCGTGGTGTTTGAGGGAGTATATCACTTAGCTGGCTGGCAGTTTGCTTTATATTACTATCATTCTGGATGACTAAACTATGAATAGGGTTATTTCTATTGCAATAATAAAATCAGTTGATACCCAGAATAAGATAAAACACAAATTGGTGAACACATTGATACAGTTTTGCAATAGGTTGTGAGCATTCTAAATTCTAGTTTGTTGGCAATAGATGCTCTCACTGCCATCAGCAATTTTCAGGAGGTGTTCCATTCAGTGTTTTTTCCTTATGGAAGTTTCCTACCCTCCTTTCTCAAGAACTTATCCATCAAAATCCACAGGACAGCATTCTAGTGAAACAGAAGGTACTTGTGGCAGGAGTTTTGAATAGCTTTACAGCCAGCCTACGAATTTTCTCTCTCTCTCTCTGTCTCTCTCTATTGGAAGAGTGATTTGGATTATTTTTCCCCCCTTCTGGCTCTCATCCAAGTGCATTCTTAAAAATATTCTGTATTTTATTTGGTTGATTTAAGTCAAATTTTTCTTACACTATCACACATTTTGTTATTTACTTTTGTTCTTGTTACACGACGTCTATTGGGACAAAATGGTTATTGCAAGTTTCTGGTAGTTTCGATAACAATGTTACACATTGGAGTTGCATCTTTCTGCATGCTGTCCCTTTACATCTACAAAATGTAGTTATGCCAATCAGTCTGTGTCAGCCATTGCATGCCTTCCTTGGGAATTCATAGTGTTTCCTTCTTTTCTGCAATTTGCGGAGTTTCACTGTTTCTTGCCCTTTCCTCACTTGAAATGTGTTGTCACTACTTTACATATGCAATCTGTCAGGTCTTCACCTCTTTGGTAAAAACTGTGCTTTTGATATTGTTTAAAGATGTACAAAGAATATGGTATGTCATTTGCAAAAGCTCAGACATGAATTATTGAGTCTAAATTTATTTGCATATACTGAAATATTCTTTATTTACGAAGCTCGTATTTGATATGCATTAAGGCTCGTGATTGTGGTTGGATTTGCAGCCAGCATGTCTAAGAATGGCAGGGGAATACCTCCACGCATTCTGCAATATAGCCGAAGAGGTTAAGCCCGGACCTATTTTAAGATTGTATCATATTATTGGTTTTGATGCTTAATGACCAAAGCGTTTGATTTCTATTTTCCTTCTTCGTCTTCTCGGGGCATAACAATGTCGCTTCCTACAAATACTACAGATCTTGCCAACGCAATGGCTGTAGCTCTCCAGATGTATAAGAATGTGATTGGTGCCGAGTCTGCTGGCAATGCGCTTCATCAGATCCCCCCCCCCCCCCCCCCCCCAAGAATATGAAGGAAAGATGAAGAATATTACTACTCCCTCGGATGAAAGTAGGAATGAGAGTAAAGCATCTAATGTAGACCCTGTAGGTGAACTGACGTTTTCCCTCCAGAGCTCCAAGAAGGATAATCAAAGCTCATCAATGCAACTGAGCTCATTCAGTAATGGAAAGGTTTATTGTGCTTTTCGGTTGTGTTAGCTTTGTAGACTTTTAGATCATACGGCCTTTCTTTTTCTAATTCGGAATCACTGCCGGGTTTTTTGGTTGGACAGTTCCGTGCTGACAAGCATTAGACAATGGGAAAGTAAGTTCAAGTCTATGCCTCCCAAAACTTGGCTTAAGCTGGTCTAATTCTGGGCTTTTCTTTTTCTTTTTTCTTTTTAAGAGTGAATTCTTATTGCACATGCGCTGTGGAGGTGAATATGATGTCATTTTGGTAACTATTACAAGATTTAGAGGAAGAAGGAATTGAACAATATTCGAAAGCAACGTTTTGTTTTTTGCCAACTCTTTATGGATTCTCCTTTTTGCCCAGATTAACAGGGAAGACTTGTTTAATTGAAGTTTGCTCGTGTGGTTTGATATTGTCTATATAGACTGCTACAGTGTAGTGTGAACCGTGTGATGCTGGTTAGTCCGCCATCATAGAGTTTAGGTGTAGCGGAATGGCAACTGTTTTGATGCGAGTCAGCCCGTCATCCCCCACTGTACAGCCGGACGCTAAATAATTTACAATTTTTCGGATTCAAAACGATTTTCTGTTTTGCCAGCACCATTACTTGTCTAGGGAGCAAAGTCCTTACCATTTTTTAGGTGTAGTGTTTCATGTTAAGCACTAGTTAATGTGAGAGCGATTTCATGATGACTTCATTATTTTTGGTTTGGTCTTGTATGATCAAGTAAATGGTATTCATTATATTGCTCAAATTACTGGTGTGAAATGTGATTGTCTTGTGTTGCTAGAAAAACTGTTTTCTTTTTTAAGTGGTAGAAAGCTTCTGATTGTATTATCCTCCAAGTTGAGCGTAAATTTATAAGGTTGTGATGAGAATTGCAATCAGAAATTAATTTATAAGGTTGGGAGCAAAGTCCTCTCCAATTTTTTCCCCCACAATATTAAAGTCACAAGCTCATTCGAGAAAGTACTTTCATGTTCATTAATGTGAGAGACTTCGGTATTTTTAGTTGGCAAAAATGCAAAAAACCCTCCTGAACTATTAGAAATCGGCAATTTACCCCCCTGGACTAAAAAAATGAACAAGTCAGTACCACAACTATCCAAATCGTACAAATTAACCCCTGAAACGCAATTCCGGTCACTTTCCGGCCGACCTCAATGTAGATTTACAAAACTACCCATCGTAATTAAGAAAAAAAAATACGAAAATAAATAATAAGAGTGAAATACCGTGAATGCCCTTCATGGATATACACTTAGTTTTCCCAAACGTTGCCTAAGTGTTGAAGTTGTAACCCTGTCGGTGCTTAGAGAAGAGAAGATGCAAGGTCGCGAATCTAGGGCTTTTAAGTGCGATGAAGACTAAGGGTCTCTGAACTACGATTTGAAGGAGTTATTTTGTGGTTTTGGTGTTTTGTATTAAAGATTGAAGAAATCTTAAGTCTCGGAATCGATCGTGCAAGAAAGAGGGTTGAATCATAAGTGTGCTTACTATTCTAAAAGTGCAATTTACTTTCAAAATAGCTACTTTATGTATTATTTTCATGTTATTTTGATGTTATTGTTTGTTAGGGTTTCTGAATACTAAGTGTCACTAAATTTCTAGGGTTTCTGACATTTTTTCTATTAAGGGTTTATAGTAGAAATTTTTGCATGGGTATGGACTTTGTTTTATATTGTGATTGTTGGTAGGGTTTCCGAAATCTTGATTTCAACCTTTTATAATGCATGAATATATATATATATATATATATATATATATATATATTATACTGTCAGCACAATAATTGAGATATTGGCAAACATGTGCGTATTTTTTGTCTATATAATATACATCGGTCATTATAATGCATGAATTCTTTTGGATTTTAATGGTTTTTTTGGTACTGTCAGCACAATAATTGGATTTTTTTGGTACTGCCTTTATATTTCTTAAAGTGTATTGACCCCACTGTGTGTCATTGTGTTGTGCTTTTGGGGTTTGGTTCTTGCTTTTTGTCCATGTGTTGCAGTTGTTGTCATTGTCTTGTATTTGTCATCTACATAGTTTATTGCATAAGTAGGTCATTGCCTTCTGTTTTGTTAATTTTAATTGCAATGCTAATTAATTAATTTTGTTTTTTTGTTAACAGATCATGTCTAGGTTAGTTAGTTTGGAGGTACACCATGGAGGATCTTTTGAGGGCACACCCCTTAATTATACAGGTGGCACTGTAACTTTGATTCATAATATAGATCTGGATTACTTAAATTATTTTGATCTGAATCGTGTGGTGAAGAAGCTTGGGTATGATGCTATGAGGATTGAATTATATTATAGGAATCCAATGGTGAGCAGTGATGAAGGGATTAAACAAATATTAAAGGATGAAGATGTTTTGGGTTGCATTACTTGTCATCAGAGGTTTAGTTTAATTAAAATGTTCATCATCTCACCTAATATTGAAGTGGTTGATGGGGAGGGGGATAGATCAAAGCATGCTGAGTGGGAAGATGAAATCCTAGAATGGGCTACTGAGGTGGCAAATGATAATGTTGAGTTGTCAATGAACAATGGTGATGGGGAACAAGCTTTAATTGATGCTGAGATAGAAGATGGTGAGATAGAGCATGGGTATGATGCTGAAATAGAAGATACTGAGATAGAGCATGGGTATGATGCTGAGATGGAAGGTGCTGACATGGGACATCTAGATGATGAGGTAGAGGCTACTAATGTTGAGATGGAAGATGAAATGGCACATGAAGATGGTGAGGTGGAGTCTACTGTTGATGAGATGGAAGAAGAAATGGCACATGAAAATGGTGAGGTGGAGCCTACTGTTGCTGAGAACAATGAACATGCCAATTCTGGGGTGGATCTTGATGACCTTGATCTGCATGAGAGGGAATACAATTTTTCTGACATTGAATCAACATATGCTCCAAGTGATGAGTTTCAAAGTTTAAAGGGCTCATCTAAAGATGAAGATGAGGAAGAGAATAATGACGGAGGCCGGCAGAATCCAAGGGTTACTGGCTTTGAAGTGGGAAAAAAAATATGAATCAACAGAAAAGTTCAGAGTGGACTTGAGGGCTCATGCTATCAGTGAGAAGTATGACATTAGATTTGTGAAGAATGAACGAGAAAGAGTTACTGCCAAATGTGCTTCTGATTGTGGGTGGAGGATACATGCATCAATTAACACTGAAGATGGCAGTTTTGAGATAAAGACATTCAAATCAACTCATCATTGCTCTTATACTAAAATTAACAAGCAAGCATCATCTTCTTTCTTGGCAAAAAAATACATGGAGACCTTGAGGGATGAACCTGCATGGAAGACTGGTGCAATGAAGAAGGCTATTTTGAGGGATTTGGATGTGATTGTTTCTAGCTCCAAGGTTTATAGAGCAAAGAAGAAGGCAGTCTCACACATTGAGGGGAACCATGGGTTACAATTCAGAAGAGCTAGAAACTACTGCCATCTAGTTCAATCTACAAACCCTGGTAGCATTGCAGTCACCACTATTGACAGACCAACACTTGAAGAGCCTGCAAGATTTGAAGGGTTATTCATTTGTTTTGAAGCAATGAGTAAAGGTTTTTTAGAAGGGTGCAGACCATTCATTGGACTGGATGGATGTTTTTTGAAGGGTCCTTACAAAGGCCAACTGTTAAGTGCACTTGGGAGGGATGGAGACAATGGGATTTTTCCTATTGCTTTTGCTGTGGTAAGATCTGAAACAAAGCAGTCATGGAAGTGGTTCATGGAACAACTAGAGAAGGCTTTGGGTCCATTACATCGGTTTACATTTATGTCTGACAGACAGAAGGTAATAATTTAATTTAAATTTAATTTATGTTTTTTTTAATGTATGTTTGTTTCCATGTTCATTTAATTAATGTTTATATGTTTCTTTCTTTGATAGGAATTAGTTGACACTTTTGCAGACATGTTGCATGGTTGTCATCATAGATATTGTGTAAAACACATGTATGAAAATTTCAAAAAGAAGTTTAAGGGGGTGAAGTTAAGAAATGAGATGTGGAATGCATCACGTGCACTTACTGAGAGTGTATTTAAGTATCACATGCAGATTATAAAGAACATTGATAAGAGAGCCTATGAGTGGCTTGCAAATGTGCCTCCTAGGTTATGGTCAAGGCATAAATTTGAGGATAATTCAAAGTGTGATTTAGTTGTCAACAATCTCGCTGAGACATGGAATGTCAACATTGGTGATGCTAGGGATAAACCACTCATTACTATGTTGGAGTGGATTCGTAGTTATTTGATGCATCGCAATCAGTCCAGAAGGCAGTGGATTCAGAATCAGACTGGGTTGTTGTGCCCTACCATAGCAACTGACTTGAAGAATATAATGGATGACTGCAGACATTGTAGTACCACAAAGGCAGGTGATGATATTTTTGAGGTTTACTATAAAGGTGTTAATGAGGGTGTTAACTTGTCAAATAGAACATGTAGCTGTCGAGAATGGGATGTGAAAGGTATACCATGCATTCATGCCATTGCATGTATAATATCTGAAAGGGGGCAGCCTGAGAATTATGTGGACAGTTTTTATCATAGGGAGACTTATTTCAGGACAGATTACCATATTATATACCCTATGCCCCTTAGGAACTTGCAACGAGAAGTTGGCACTGATCCTATACACCCACCTATTGTTAAGCCTGTAACTGGTAGGCCTAAAAAGGTAAGAAAAAAAGGCAATTGGTGAGGTTAGTAAACCTGGTGTTGCTAGCAGAAAAAAAAAGTATCTAAGGTGTGGAAGATGTGGGGAGATAGCCCACAACACTAGGACTTGCAAGGCAACTGAGGCAATACCTAAGAAAAAAGGTCAAGTAAAAGGTAAAAGAGGTAGATCTCGATTGCCTGTTGTTTCTAGTGTACCTGCTGTACTGCCAGACCATATAGATATACAAAATGAAGCTGATGCAAGAGGAAGAGGAGCTGGTGGTAATAAAGCTGATGAAAGAGGAAGAGGAGCTGGAGGTAATGAAGCTAATGGAAGAGGAAGATGAGCTGGAGGTGGTGCAAAAGAAAGAGAAGCTGAAGGTAGTGCAAGAAGAAGAAGGCTTGGAAGGGTTATAGCTGCCACTGAAAGGCAACTATAGGAGGTATATTGTTTAAATTATTGTATGTTCTCATAGTTTATTATGATTTCACAATTGTAGTAATATTTATCTTCATTTTTTTTATTTTTTTTTTTTACTTAGGTCATTACAATACCATCAAGATATGGGACTATGCTGAACAATTTGAGGAGTAGCCAACCATCATCATCATTAGTTGACTTGAATGTCCTATGGAGTAGTCAAGCATCATCATCATCAGGAAGGTATATATATTTAAATTGATTTCCATAGTAGTGAAGTTCATTATCTCACTGTAATTCCAATGTTGTTAATATTTTCTTATGGCAGACCCACTACAATGGATCCAAGACTTTAGGCACTATTGGGTTTAGAGTATGCAGCTGATATTTTGGTCTATTTTGGTAGATGGCAACATACAACTTTTGGTAGATGGCAACATACAACTTTTAATCCCAATGTTGTTTTTTGCTGTGTTTTGGGGTATCTAGGGTAGATGAACAGTGTTATGGAAAAAAACAGCTTTTTTATTTTGGTATGTTTTGGTCTGTGATGGTACAATGGTTTATATTTGTGATTGTACAACGGTTTATATTTCTTGTGTTATAATGGTTTATTAATTATGACAGGTCTGTGCAGTTGTGTTCTTTTATTGCAGTTGTGTGACTTTTACTATTTTTATGAACTTTATTATGTTGCTAGGTTGGTGTAGTAAGGACTTTATGATGTTGGTAGGTTGGTGTAATAAGGAATTTGTGTTATTTTTCTCAGGTGATTTCACTGAGTACTTAGTGTTGCTGCTTATTCAATTGTGTGGTCATGTGATACACGAAGACAATGTGCATATATATTTTGTCTGTGTGTTAAAGAAACCTACTGTTAGCAATGTGCACATGATGAAAAAAATATAAATAACTTCCAATTATATTTATTACATTACATTATATTTACTAACCATAAAATTAAGATCATAATACCACATGATACAAATCCTAACATAAAAACATTGAAATTTGTCCTCATAGCTACAGGTTATTCCACTTCCATGTCTTTCATTGCAACTTGTTCTCTCAAACATGATATTATCCTCATAGCTGCTTCTCTTTCCATTCTGCTCCAATTAAGTTCTCTTTCTTCTTCATTATGTTGGGGATCTATCCATCTCAAGAACCCACAGGACCATATCGGATAGCTTCCACATCCATAAAATCTTCGCCCTAAATTCGCAGCAGTTGTTGCTCTTCTCAAAGGAGATTTTACTCCACAATAGCAATACAAATCTTCATGCATTCTACCACGATATGGTACATTATTCGAGCTTCTTGAGCTCATGGATGCCTACAAACAATTTATACAACTTCATAAATTTATACTCACTATATAACTTCAAAAATAATTAATTAAAGAGTAAACACACAATTTTATATATATATGTTCCAGTAAATATAACATTACATTTGATAATATATAAAAACTTAAAAAAATAAAATTAATAGTAAGCATATATATAGAGTCGTGTATTGTCCAGTACTACATTATATATGATAATACATATATATGTACAATACAGGAAAAAAAAAAAAAAAAAAAACACACACACACACACACACACACACGTGTATATATATATATATATAAAATACAGAAACACACACACACACACACACACACATACATATATATTTACATATATACATATATATTCTTACCTTAAACTTTGTTCTTCAAATTATTGGAGTATTTGGTGCAGAGGTGGAGTAGCAACTTAGAGGATGGAGAAAGGCAAAATGAACAAAATAGCTACAACTGGGTTCATTTATAGGCAAAGGGCTACAACGGTAATAATCCAGGGCAATTTTGGAATTAAATGAAAAAGACAATCACGTGCTGAGCTTGTGGGCCGGAAAGTGACCGGAATTGCGTTTCAGGGATTAATTTGCACGATTTTTGATAGTTGCGGTACTGATTTGTTCATTTTTGTAGTCCAGGGGGATAAATTGCTGATTTCTAATAGTTCAGGGGGGTAAATTGCACTTTTGCCTTTATAGTTTGGTCTTCTGTATCCCCAACCCGGTGGGGTGTCCTGTCCCAGTCCCATTTGGGTGAGGTTTTGAAAAATCGATTTTGTAAATTGGGATGGGGGATGAGAGTTGCTTCGGGCTTTTGGGCGTTTTATGCGTAGGGTTACCTTGTCCCGAATATATTATAAATTTATCAAATTATCTTTACATACTATGATATATTTAAGTGTGTGCATATACGCACACACATAGTAGGAAAATTCTAACCCTTACAAGTCTTGTGAAAAAAGAGAGTTGCGAGTAGGGATGGCAAATATTCCCACCCTGGCAGAGCCCGCCCCATTTTGGACTGTTATGAGAAACCGATTATGTAAATGGGGACGGGATGAAAACTGCTTTGAAAATCCCAGTGAATTTTGGAGTGATTATGGGGATGGAAAAATTAAGCGAGGATAGAGAATGAGATCCCGGCCAAATGCGATCTCTAATCTTCTGTGCTAAAGTAAACGGTATTCATTATATTGCTCAAATTTTCACCATAAATACTGGTGTGAAATGTTAATTGGCCAACTACACCTCATTGAACCCTTTTTTAATGGGCTCCCCCTAATTTGTCAGGGAAAAAAATAATAATAATAAAATAAATCATTTTCAATAAATCAAATTCAATTGATTGTCTTGTGTTGCTAGAAAAACTGTTTTCTTTTTTAGCGGTAGAAAGCTTCTGATTGTATTATTCTCCAAGTTGAGCGTAAATTTATAAGGTAGTGTAACTTGCGTTGAGAAATGCAATCGAACGTAATTTTTTTATTTTTTAGAGAAATATGTTGTTCATCGATATTTGATTGTTTCAGAATTTATTGTTCTACATAGAAGTAACCCAGCATTGTTAATCAATATGCTGAAATGAAACAATAACAAGATGACAGTTTCTTTTTAGAAATTATGTAAATTTATTTCTCTTTATTCATAGAGAAACTATATTCAACCATTACAAGATTTTAATATTTGCAAGCTCTAAAACTCTCTCGTTTGTTGAAACATGTAAACTAAATCAGCAGAGAGTTGAGTTAGGCATATATACCATGTATATATCCTCGACTGAAAAATAGAAAACAGCTCCAAAATTCATTTTGGTTGATAATTTTCTGGAAAATTGGAGTTGAAAAGGACCTAGTTTTTGATAATGTTCTTCAGTAATTTTCTAAGAAGTATTTTCTAAAACCCTAATAAATAATAAATTAATTGAACCGAACAAGTACCAATCTTTTAACTGCCATCATCCCCTATTCAGGAGTCCTAATTTTGTATACTACTGCAATGCACCAACTCCCAGCAACTAATTACCCAATAGGCAAACTTTCCGGTGATTATACAGATTCATTCAAGCTACAACGCTTCTCAATCATGTCACTATGTCGAAGGAACGTAGGAAAACTTTCCGATGATTACACAGATTCATTCAAGATACAAGGCTTCTCAAGCATGTTCATAAGAGCACAACGACAAAACGAACCACCCAATGGATTCATTATCATCACCTTGCCTTAATCCCATATAAAAGGGGCCTCTTTCCAAACTTTTCTATTACATACTAAATTATTTCCAAATGCCCAAATAAAAGAGACTTTCAATAAACCAACCTAAAAACGATCAGATCCCAGCTGCCTTGGTATCAAACCAAAACAAACCTAACACCAACCAAACAACAAACTCCCCAACACTCGCACCAAATATGTATATACACATATATATCATAATATATATTACATTGTCAATAAAACTAGCCTCTTCTTACTATTACATTGTCAATAATCACGCAGAAATTGTAACGCTTATACCCATATTTTGCATTCAACATGATACAATGTCACATCAGAACCCACCAAAAAAGAACAAGAACATCAGAGCCGACCTATTCTTTACTGTGAGTGCACAGTCCAGGTTAAGATTATGTTTCAATTTCGCGGTCCTTATCTCTATATCAAAGAGTTCTTTCACTGAGATATAAGGTCGAACATGAAAAATACTATCCGCCTTTAAATACAAATGAAATGGGAGGGAGGTGAGAGACGATATTAAATACTAAGCATATGATCCTGCGTCAAACTGAATTGAAATATTTTCCTACCATTTCACATTTTTTCTAACATGATCAAATGATCTGTTTGCTGAACTACTTTCAAATGGATAAACAACGTGTATGATCCTTCATTATTATTATTATTTCTTCTCCTTCTTTTCCGAGACTCATCACAATCACAATAGATATTTGATAACCAAAAATTAATGAAAGATTCTACAAAATATGCCTATTAACAACTAAGTCAGCTCCCGAGAGCTGTAAATTCAAATCTTTCGCCAGATTAGGATCTGGCGAAAACAACTAAACAAAGCAGTAAGAAAATTTGGGATGTAAAAACCAAAAATTTAAGATATGGCTACATTGGAAATCAATGAATATTTACTTGTAAGAACTGGATTCTTTGCAAAGGATAGTTGCAAATCCGGAAAAAAGATCGCTTATGCAGCGGAACCAATCATAGCCAATAAGTAGATTTTCTAACATATATAGTGTAGTGAATCAATTTGGTACTTTTAAATCTTGGCCGAATTGGAATTTGAACGAATTAAGAAACTTTCACTCTACGATGCAATTGTCTTGGATAGTAAATCAACATGACAGATGAATTGGAACAGAAATCTTGTAATGGCCATAGAACTCGTGAGTTGCATCACTCACTCCAACTGATACTACTATTACTTTAGATACAAAGGTCGGTAGAGATGGCAAATAAAAGCAGCTACAATGGTTTGATTAAGAAAACACACCTCTAGAAAGGACTAACTATCCATTCTACAATTTATACAATTGCAAACACTGGTCCCATATGCAACATATTCAAATATATTTTCGCTAATGCGTCCATTACAAATCAATATCACACAAATCAATATCACAGTAAATGAAGATTCAAACAAACAGTTTCTTTAACTTTGTGGCTTGTACATCAATGAAGGGAAACAATTCTCTCTGTAATGCTAGTATGAAAGTGTATAATCAACTTCACTCAACTACAAGATATTCCACATTTATTATCTAAGTTCTTCAGAATTGATACTATAATATAGTTAAAAACAAATTGGAATTGCAAGCAAATTAATGATAACTACACAAAGAATATGACTTCATTAATTGAAAAAAAGAATACAACAACAAAAACAACAAAATCAAGGGAACAATGGTGTAAATCTCCCTTCTACATACAGAATTATACATACATACATACATACATATATATATAAAGATCAAGAAAAATTAGAACAAGAAACCGCCGAATAATCAAATTGTAACAAATCTAACCTCAAATCAAAGAAGATGAGAGCAGAGAATGTGCATTAGAGAAGGCCAAACAAGACAGAGAAGCCAAGCAAGATGAGCCACAACATATGAACCAATAGCAGTGCCTGACCAGAGACATCGCTGGTCCCATTCCCCACGTCACAAAACCCTAGCTTGGCCACGCGAGTGCCAGCGCAGACGGCGTCGCCACACCCGCACCAGTAGGTGACGCCGTTGGCGCCGCAGACGGGGTCGGTTTTGAAGCAATTGACGGGGCAGGAGGGTGGGGACGCCGTGCCGGA